TATTATTAAAAAAATATAAAATTATTTAATTATTTTTTTGTTTATTTATATTTTTATAAAATATAAATTTTGTTAAAGTAAAATAATCTGATTTATTATTTATAATATAATTTAACTCTTGAAATTATTTTTGAAGATATTTAAAAAGTTATAATTTTAATAAATTTTTTGTTATTTAATTACTAAAAAATTTATATTTACTTTTGATTTTTCAATTAATTCTTTATGGATAAGACTATTAGTAATAATAAAATAAATAATTAAAATATTATTAAATCTCTTAAATTATAAATTAAGATTAAAACAAGAAATTCTTGATAATATAATATTTCTAAGATATTCTAATCTTTTAATATATTTAATATATAACTTTAAAATTAATATTATTATTTTTGAATATATAAATATATATAATTTATATAATTTAAATTTTTCTTAATAAATAATATATATTTATATAACTAGTTATTTTAAGTATTACTTGTCAAGTTTAAAGTTTATATTCTTTAAATTGATAATTTAAAAAATAAATCTTTATTAATATATAATATACTTTAATTATTATATTAATATTTTTTTTAATTAATAAAAATTAATATTATTTAATATTTATAATATAAAAATAATACTTATATTAATATTTTTCTTTTATTAATAAAAATTAATATTATCTAATATTTATAATATAAAAATAATACTTATAAAGATAATTTATAATATTTTTATTTTTTTAAAGTATTATATTATATCTTAATATTTGATTAATATCTGATATATTAATAAATATTTTAATTTAAAAAGTTGAATATTATGATATTTTTTAATAATATTTAAACTAAATTTAATATAAATTTAATATAATATTTTTTTATTATTTTGATTTAATAAATTTTAATATGATATCTATTTATATTAATATATTATATATTTTGATTAATATCTGATATATTAATAAATATTTTAATTTAAAAAGTTGAATATTATGATATTTTTTAATAATATTTAAACTAAATTTAATATAAATTTAATATAATATTTTTCTATTATTTTGATTTAATAAATTTTAATATGATATCTATTTATATTAATATATTATATATAAATAGTTAGCTCTTTAGTATAGTTTTTAATAAATAATATAATATACTTAATTCTAATAATATTATTTTAATATTATTTAAATTTAAGATTATAATATAAATATAATATTTATTTACTATTATAAAAAAAGATTAAAACTCAACTTTATTTGATAATTATTCAAGAATATTTAGATTATTTTATTTTAAAATTTAAATATTAGAAAATTAATACTAGTATTTAAAATTAAATATGTATAAAAATATAATAACAGAACTAGATAAATTTTAATATTACTAAATTTAGTTTTGATTAATATTAATATTCTTATATTATTTATTTTCTTCAAGAATTTAAGTATAAAAATATTTATTATTAATTTTCAAAGCTATTTGTTATCTGATATATATTAGATAAAGATAAATATTTTAAAGATTATTTTTATTTTTTACTATTTATTATTTATATATATATTGATTTTATAATATAAATGAGAAATAATTATACTCAAAAAATTAATTTTATATCTAATTTTGATTTATTATTTATAGTATAAGACTTAAAATAAAGAGATATTTAGAGATTCTGAATATGTAACTATCTTTATAAAAATCTTATTTTTATTAATTATTAATTAAATATAATATAAATCTTTTTCTTATTTACAAATTATAAATTATATAATTATTTCTAATCATATAATTCTCAATTATAAAAAATAAATAAATATGAAATAAATATAATTAATAATAGTTTACAAATTAATAAAAAATAATTTAATATTATTATATTTAATTATGAATAATAATTATTAATTTATATAATAATAAAATATTATCTTTTCAATAAAATATTTTTTATTTAAAATCTTATTAAAAAATTAATAAACTAATAAAAAATATTATTTTTATATAACTGTTTTATGCTTTAATTATATTATTAATTCATTATAATAATTATATTTAAAAATTTATGAAGATAAAGTTTTACTTTTTATTATAGATTTTTAATAAAATTTAATTAAATTATATTAGCTAACTTAATATAATTATATAATTATTAATAAATTATTTTATTATTTTATTTATAATATATTTAGAATAATTATTTTATTAAAAATTAATATTATTTAGTTTAAATTATTTTAAAAAAATTTATTAATAATATTTATTATTTATTATTTCAATAATTTTATAAAGATAGTTAGTATTTTAAATATCTAAATATTTTTATTAAAGATGAATTTCTTAATTATTATAATATTATAATAAATAAATATTATCAGATTGCAACTAGTTATAATTTATGAATTTTAAGTTGTAATATTATGATAAATAGAATATTATCAGATTATAATAGTTATAATATTCATTATTAATTCTTATATTATTATGCTATCATTATTTATTTCATTATATATTAAATATGTAAGCTTTTTAATAGATTATTTAATCTTTTTCAATAATATTAACATCTATTAAATTTAAATACCTGAAATTTTGAGTTATTAAATTATTTAATTTATATTAATTATCAAGTTTCTAATACTCATATTTATTTGTGATGTCAAGTTATTTTTGATAATGCATATCTGATAGATATGACTTTTTCTGCTTTATTCATATTATCAAATCATTATTATATATTATGCTTATATTTATATAGGAATTTTTGAAGTTGAATAACATTTAAATATTTATCAGTTTGTATTTGATAAACAAGAATTCATTTATTACATTTAGTAAGTTTTTGGAAATGATCAGTTAAAAGCTTATTTTGAACACTATTAGTTTTAGTATGATAGAATGATGAAGATTAAAGTAATGGACAAATTTCATGGCATTATAACCTTCATCAAGTAATATAATTACATTTTTCTAATGTGAGTTGTGCCATTTACTAAGAGAAGTTTAAAAAAAATATTACAAATTATATAAAACAAGTCTTGAGAATTTTTTTGTAATTGTAAATTTTTTATTTTTATAATAAAAAAAGGTTTCCTTACCCATACCAAAAAACATTAAAAAACGCATTATTTTTAAGGGATATTATGAAAAAATGGAGATTAGAATGATGATTGCATATCATTTTTGCATTCATCGAATTGCATGTGAGTGAGAATCGTGATTAGCGTTATTTTTGCAGGCCACTGTATAGCGTATCTAGTGACACATTTTCTCTATTTATATATCTACAGAATCCACAAGAATGTGAATCTATGTACATACAATATCGGTATCTACCTGGTTCAGTTTTTTTTGCGATCATATGTATATAACTTTTCTATACAGAGTTAGAATAATGTGCCACCATGTGCAATCTTTCATATACATGTAATATTTGTGGGAACCACATGGAAACCGGTAAATCCTATACAAAACTTACGTAGCAGCGTGGAATCATGGGATTTGACTTTGCTGATGGATGTAATATTCATAATCTATAGACATCTACATTTTTTCTACATTTTATCCATGATAGAGACTCGGGTGGTAATCTACTACTGGGTGTGTTTTATGCCACGAATTACTGTGCCTTCGAAAAATCTAAAATCATTGATGAAAACTATCTGATTGTTGTTTCAGCACAATCTCTTCAAACTCACCTTACAAAATTTTGTTTTTATAAATTTAATTTCTAATACTTGTCAGAGTATTGTATTCATGAATTTTTCAAAATAGTATATGTTATTCAATTATTCAATCATTAAAATCTTTGATTTGCGTATTTTTTCAAACACAATAAAAAAGAAATACAAACTGATCTACTGTAATATATAAAACGAAATATTTCTGATATTACGGTACTATTCACGATTTCATTTGGTGAACTATGTTAATTCAAACACAGCCTTTTACATGTATTTAGGTTAATCTAGGTTGGCAATCTAACTTACGGAGGACGATTTACAAAAATTTATAGTAAATTACATGTATAAAACCTTTTTAATCTTGTTAATAAATATTTTTGTGTCAAAGTGAAGATAATGTTCTATATTTTTTCGAATTTTTCAGAATTTTTATTGAAAGCTTTGTTCTAAAATGAACATAAAATTTCTATCAATTTTCATTTTTAATTTGTGATCGTCCACCCTTGTATATGATAATGTTTTGATATCGACATGTACATAGAAACAAAAAACCCAGTACATACGATCCGAAGAAAATTCGAGTCGGATTGGAAACAAGATCCAAATTTTCAGCTTGAGAAATTCGCAATCCAAGCTCGATCCGAGGTTTCAAATTCGGATCGGACCTTAGATTACATGCGTGATTGAGGATGGGTTTGGTTCAGTTTGGTTCTAATTGTGATTGTGCTAAAATATTGAGTTCAGACTATAGAAATATCACCACTGGTAAAATACATGTATTATTGACAAAAGAGCCACTGCATACATAACTTATACATGTGATTACTGGGATGATTCTGATCGGTTAAATCCCTATTGCTTCCTTCATTTCATTTGAACATAGTTTTCAGCAAAATAATTAGGCAAAGATCATATGTGCTAATAAAATCTATTATTACAAAGAAATAATTTGAAAGCATATTTATTCCGAAATGAGATTCTTTTAAACAGAAGGAAATAGATCATTGTCTAGTCAATGTGGTTAACCATAAAGTCAATATCAATGTACATGTACATGTATATATTATAAATAATTACGTTTAGTACTACATGTATTTAAAAGTTTTTTTAGGTATACTGAATTTATCCAGCTACTTGGCATTTTTCTTATTGTTGTAAGGGCTTTTTGATTGGCATACATTTATATAAAAATGTATTCTTTTCGAGACAAGAAAATAATGTACACTTCATACTTCTGATTTTTTTATCATTGGTAAAAATAGATGAATAAATAACGTTAGAAAATGTTATATAAACATACATAAATATATAAAAAATTAGAATTCTTAAAATGGGACAAAAAAAGCCTGGTGAAATTCCCAATGATGACGATGAAATTCTTAAAGATGATGAAAATAGCGAAAAGATTTCTAATAATACCCATGTTAATGAAAAGACATCTATTAGTGTTCAAGTTGATGAAGACCTTCCTATCCTCCTAAAACTTCCCACAAATATGAAACTAAATCATATACGGACTATGCTAGAGGAAGAACCAGAAATCAAAATGAATTGCGATATGTATTTTATGAATGAAACTTCTCGAGTCCTGCGGGGTCATGAATCCGGGTTTCGCCTGTTTGAAATCCTCATCGGTGAAAATGGTTTAAAAATCCAAAAGAATTATTGGGCAAAGATAAAAGAAAATTGTAAAATTGAATATGGGATAAATTTCACACCAACAGGACCATTAAATGGAAAAAAAAGAGTCGTTGAAATTTCAAATCACTCAATGACTCCAACGAAAACTGGATACGATCAAATAATAAAATGCGAAAAAGAAGAAGAGAATTTTTATGTAAAAAATTATCTTGCCGAGTCATGCTTTAAGACACCATTACCAGGGTAAGTCTTTAATGTACATTGGTTTCGGTTTTATTGAATATTATTTAATAAATTTTATTTACAATGTCACTGAAGTTTAAAAATCGGCTTATCAGCGCAATCAAAATCACAAGAAAATATTACCGAATTTACGGTTTATCATAGAATGAAAAGAGCAAAGGAAATAGTAACATTAAATGATATAAAACCAACTAAGGAATTTACTGATGCTGTGGATAAAGCGCTCGAATCTAAAGAGCGCGAATCACTCGTAAACGTTGCTAAAGATTACGGGCTATTTTTTTGTAAAAGCTTTGAAGTTGGTGGTATTATCCTGTCTATCAAACAAGACAAAGAAATTAACACAAATATCACAGAGTTCAAGGAAATAAACGCACAGTTTGATCTGACTGCAAATAGTCAAATTAGAATGGAAGGAAGTCGAGAAACTAGCCAAACGAATTCTTTAAATGATGGTTATGAATTTTTTCAAATGCTGGGAGGCATAGAAGAGAGTTATCGAGAAGAGGGAATACGCGGTTAGTAGAATTATTTGTGAGTTAAATTTCATTTATAATCAGTATTAATTCATAATTCTTTTAGGATGGCTCAATTCCTTGAAGAATTGTAAAAATTGGAGAATTATTGAATATTTAGACATATGCTCGATATTCCACCTTTTGGATAAGGACAGACAAACGAGAATTTTTACGGAAAATAAAATCCGTTTTTCTCGAGTCATTAATTTCGACGCTATTTTCGACTTAGCTGATAGGAGACCATGTATAAAAACCATTCCTGAAGATATTAAACTTTCAGATACTGATCAAATGTATTTAACAATAATGAAAGCTGAAAAACAAAGAGGAGACTTTGTCGCTCGACTTCATTATATAAATGAAAATAGTCAGCCAATTATTCTTGTACAACAATTGGGAAAGCTAAAAAACAAAGCAAATTTAAAATGTTTTTCTTTCAAGTTAGGATGCACTGTCGTAAGCAAGTCACTTTCAAGTCTATTCGAGCAAGACTCTGAAAAACTAACTTTAGAAAGTTCAGAGACTCAATTAATCACAACAAAAAACCGATGTTCAGCTGTTATTAAGAATAAAGCTCGAGATCCAAATACAGGTCTTATAGCCACATGTGTAACTAGATCTAAAAATATACAAAGTGATCCAAGAGATTCCGAGTTTATAATGGGCTCCTATTTTAATATTAAAAACAGCGCTATTGAGGCTTGCATGTTTTGTTATGATAAACAAAGTAATAATAAGTATTTAAAATTAATATTTTGTTTTGTAGCATAGCTAATGTTTCTTTTTAATTCAAAGTGAACTTATACAACCAATTCGATAGTTTGCCGTATAAACTTTCTCTGAATAACTGGTAAATTATTTTTTTTAAAAATCAATTCTTAATTATCGTTTCTAATTATTTTAATTTACAGTATTATATCCGAACAACAAAATTTACTTTTTGGACAAGCACAAATAATTGAAAAAAATTTCACTCGATTTCTATTTTCTTCAAAAAAATTTAAAATCACTTTTGACAATTATCCGCGAATCATATCAGCATCATATATAAATGACGAGCCGGCTCAAGGCTTCCGAAACCCCATTTTTTTGAATTTGATTACAACAAATTGCAAGGAAGATGAAGTTCACGGGTTTTTCAATATTACGCGAAAATGTGCATTGTTTAGATCACTTAATAATCCGATTACAAAAAATCAGCAAATAGCATATTGTCAAACGTCAGCAACAGAAAGTAATAGCGAAAACGATTACCGTAAAGCCGCGAAATAACGCACACCTGCGCATTGTTTCGAAATAAAGTCGATTTTCTGAACATGAGCTTTTCAAAATAGTGCCCATGTGCGGCATATAAAATTATACATGTACATGTATAAAGTATATTTTTCTTCCCATCATATAATAGCGGTGCATGTACATGTTATAGAAATTCAAATTTTTAATTTTTTACAGTATACTGATATGATCTACATGACCCATTACTACTTTCAGTGCGCAATGAACGCGTGTCTTACATCCACTGATAAGTGCGTGTTCTTTCGGGGCGCCAGGGGCGTTATTTCGAGATTACGTATGCTATTTTCGAAATAACGTTCATGCTCGTTATTTCGCGGTTTTACGGTAATGATAAATCAATTTTTCTTTATAATTAATTTGTATCTTTCATCAATATATTAGATTAAAAATTCTATTTACATTATTTATTTTATTTTGAACATTAAGCTATACAAATTCATTTTATATGTTCATATACAAATGTAACTTCCTTAAATGCACGCCTTGATTAGTTCTAAATATATAAATCATTAAGTATTTTACCCTCCGTAAATGAAATTTTTCTCTAATGCACATTATACCTGATTTTCTATGTCTCCCGACAACGGTCTGACTGTATGTGTTTGTTCTATATGTTTGAATTCGATTGGTTATTATTCGCTGGTACTTTTAATCTTGAATATAATTGGTTAGCAACCTAAATGTATAATCAGCCAAACAAAATTCAACCTTAAAAGATGTATACAGATAGAGACATTTATAATCTGAATGTTTTTGGAAAGAAAATCCGGATTAAAGACAAGGAGGTGATACTTACAGTCTCCAGCGAAAATAATGATTGTAAATGGCACTTCTTTCCTTTTTTTGCTGTAACATAATTTAAATAATTGTCATAATACAAATATCTAAAAAAATGCTATTTTAAAAAATAAATAAAGTAAATTACACTTGAATATTGTTTTATCAGTATTTTCCTTCTGAAATATAAAAAAGTATAATTTTGATAAAGATTGAATATAAGTTCTTTGATAACTTTACTTAAGATCATATAATAAAAATTTTATAATTTGCATTTTATAAGTCTTCTTTTTATATAATCATGCCATAGTCAAAGTGTGAATTTAAAGAGATTTTACTGTATAGAAGTCAAATTTTCTATGCTTTATAATATCTGAAACAGGAAAAGTGATTATAAAAGGTGTAACTATATAGAAGGGAAAGACTATATTAAAAATTAATTTGCAAAATTATTATAAAAATTTACAATTATTTATAGAATTTTTTAATTTATATAAAAATATATAACTTATTCTATATTACAAGTAAATTATATATTTTATTATAATGTTACTAATATATATTCAAATCTTTTTATAATTATATCTTTTTATAATTATTTTTTTTGAGATTTTTAATTATTAATTAATTATAATTAAAATACATATTTTTTATAAGAAAATATAATAAACAAAGCTACTCTTATCTGGAAAAATTTTTCTGATTCTGAGTTTTAATTCAATATCAGACAAGTATTGTAATATCAGAAAAATTTCTCATTATTAAGAAATTAAAATCCAGATTTCAAAAATTAAGAGAAATATTTCTCTGAAATTTGTATTTTAGAAAATTTCTAAAGATTTTGATAGAGCTTCTATAATATATTATTATATTTATTATACAATAAAAAAGTATTAAATTCTTATAAAACTTTAATATCTTTTTTATAATATAATAAATAAATTTAATTTATATTAATTATAATATATTAAAATTATTTTTAATTAATTTTTAAAAAAATTTATAATTAATTTTATAAGTTAATTTTTTAAATATAAAATATAAATTTATAAAATATTATATTAAGATTTTTATATATTTAATAAAAGAAAGTTATTGAATACTTTATAAATTATATATTTTTAATATATATGTTAATTTAATCTGTATAATTTTAATTTATTTTGACTAGATAAATTAAATAATAATAAAATTATATGAATTTAAATTATTTATATTATAATAAAAATGATTAAGCAAGAAAAAAAGAGTTAGATTATATAAAAAGTAAAAAAGTTATTTTTTATAAAAGTTATAATAAAAAATAAATCTTTTTTGATAATTTTTAATGCTAAAATTATATAAAATTATAAAAAAATACTTTAAAAAAAGAGATTTATAAAAATTTTTAGTATCTATAAGATATATAAAAATAAAATATAGAAGTATACTTTTATTATTATTATTATTATTATTATTATTATTATTATTATTATTATTATTATTATTATTATTATTATTATTATTA